GTAGAGACCGATCTTTTCTTTCATATGCATCTGTAACGGATTATCATAAAAGAAAAAACATAGGGCATCTGTGGACTGGATTTTGAAATGTGGGCAATGCACTCAAAATTAATGTGAGCTTGCAGTGAATCGTAAGAAAGGGCCAGAATAAACGACTGGAGAAGACCAGCACACGTCATCAGAAAGTCAATCTGTTTTTAAAGAAACATTTCACAATATTACAGCTTTTGCTGTATTTCAAATTCTGATCAAATAAATGCAGGCTTGAGTAGCAGAAGAGAAAACATCTTACGGTTCAAAAGCGTTTGACTGCTAGTGTATTTTCTGCAGATATCCCTCACCTCGTATGTTATGGTAAGCCACGGCGATCTGGGAGATGATGTATGTGCTTTTGGCGAAGCCTGCTTCCATGAGGCTCTGGTATTTCTGCAGCGCCTCTTTGATCATCTGCAGCTCGGTGAACATGTGTGCCATGAAGAAATCCCTCACCCAGCACTCCGGCAGAGACAGGGACTTCAGCTGAGGAGCACACAACACACACACCAGCTTCTGCTTCAGCGTACATGCCACGAACCACACAGCACACGGTCGCTTTGGAAAAAGAAGTACCATTTCGATGTTGGTGATGAGATTGCAGAGCTCCAGCCAGGATCCCCAGTGCAGAGGCAGAGCATGTGTCGCCGCCACAAAGATCTCCACCGCCTCCTTCAGCAAATCCAGCTTCCGCAGAACCACCCCATAACTGGTGTCCAATCAGGATGATATTAACAAACAGCACCAGAACATCACCGTTTTCTACAACCAGTGGTAATCTCTGCTAATCAATCAGGACAGACCTGCACTCCGTTCCACTATCTGAGAACTAATCTGATACTTACAGATAGAGCCCAAACCCGTCCAGCTCTCCGGCGCTGTGTTCCTTGCTCAGCTCCACCCTGAGCTCTCGCAGGGCTTCGTTTCGGACCTGCCCCTTCTCCAGCGGACCTGCAACCAAACACATGCTGATGACGAGACCATCTCCGCCGGGGACACGGTTTCAGACGCTCAATCTTACCCAGGCTGTCCACGGTCTCGTCGTCTTTCTTCTTTTCGCCTGACTGAGAGAATAAAGAAGTACATTGCTTTGTTCACATTTCACCTCCGAAGAGACGGGGATCTAAAACATTCACATAAAAACAAGAGCGAAGCATCTCACTAGGTAGCGGGAATACATGTAGAGAAAATATGCTTTCTGACTGCGGCAGCCGCGGAGAAAATACGCAGCTCGATCATATTCCTTCAGCTCAAAGTATGATTTGGCCAGACACAGGGCATCCAAATCTCGGGCGTCCTCCTGGAAGAAAGAAGGCGGTCAGTGGTGCTACATGCATTTAACTAGTTCTTCACTGAGCGTGAGGGGCTTCAGGCCTCCAGACTGACCTCGGTGAGCTCCAGCGCTGCAGGGATCTCATTCAGAGGGAGTGGATCCAAAGAAAAAGCCAGTTCTGATGCCCTGGAACACAAACAACAGCTTCATTTGCATGCATACAGACATATCCACCCCCACTTAGTGCATATTCATTATTATTCAGATTATCTGCCGTTTACTGGAAGCTTCTACAAGACATATTCCAGCTATATAACACATTCAGAAAACACAGCAGGGGGATATATGAGGTGATACGTGCTGTATCGTGCTGTATCGTGCTGACACTGAATGAGCGTCGTGTTTATATTCCAAAGGTGTTTAAAGAGTACAGTCTATAGCACTTTCAAATGCACCACTGTGTTAAACGCAGTGTGAAATAACCCGCTAGTGTTCGTGTCCGAGTCTAGCTCTGATGTTTACTAGCTGTCATGCTAACACAATACGACATGCAGTTAAATAACTGGCTGTATTCCTGACATGTGTTACACTATCAATAGAATATCTTTTACCATTTCACACTGTGGACGAGTCCTCTTTCCTTACACTGCGCTATAATCGAGATAAGTTGTTTTTTAATTTGAACCAAGTCGCCGAACTCGCTGCTGCGGGTAGCCGCCATTTTTCATAAATACGTCATGCCGACGTCACCCGAGCGCAAGAGCTGATTGGTCCAACCGCTGCCTCCGGAAAGACGTAGATTACGTTTCTAGAATTTATTCTTAGTTTGAAATGGAGTGGATTGTTGCAATGACTCATCTGTGAGACGTTACTTAGAAGCCCTTCTCAAATTAGTTTGAATTAATTCGATATTTTTTACGACGGAATTCCATGCATATGAGAATAGGTCAAATTAAGACTAACTATATATGGGCTATATATTATGTGAATATTTTTAGATCCCTTTTCTTTTCTCTCTCTCTCTCTGTGAGTGTGTGTGTGTGTGTGTGAGTGAGTG